CCCCCAGGTAAATTGTTAAACTCCTGAGAGTGACTGGTTTCTTACTTCACTTTACAGTATCACCCTTCCCTGAGAAAAAAGGAAGTGAAAGCCTAAGAAGCTCTTGATTGTTAAACAAATTCTCCTTGTCAACACCTTAAGAAATATATAGAAAAGAGTATGGAGAATATACATACAGATGTCAGGGTGAAAGGGTTAAAGGCAAACCCGCCACACAAAATGTCAATTTGGGATCAATCTGCAACTTCAGTTAAAAAAAAAATCACCTTAAAAAAAATCCCTGAAAAGGACAACTTTTAATTTCTTGACACATCAACTCTTATATTTTAAAGACGCCCAAACAACAACATAGCTATCCACTCACCTCGCCGCCTGACGTCTCTCCGTATGGGAACTGACCAAACGAGTACATTTCCCACAGTGTCACACCATAGCTCCAGACGTCACTCTGATGTGAGAACGTTCCGAAGTTAATAGATTCAGGAGCATACCTGAGAAGAAAGGATTGTCAGTCATGGGGTTCAAACGGGTTACAACACTTCAACTTCCAAGATCTGATTGATAATTCTACCCTCCAGCTGCCACACGTTTCCTTGTAAATTAGTTAGGAGAATTTGGAGCAAGATCAAGATAACTTCTACCTGATAAGTTTGAGTATTCTCATTACCTGTTAGCTGGATCGTGTATGATGGATATCACTGAAAGAATTACATGTTGAGAAAGACAAACGTGATTTTCTTTCTCGTTGTTCGAATAGCAAAAACTAGAAAGATGTTCCCCTGCGACGCTAAAAGCAGTTACTCTTTCCAACTGAATGCTAACTCGCTGATTAAATGGCGATTGCGTGCAGAAGTAATTCGTGACGCAAACGCCTCTTAGCCATCCTTAATCAAACACACTAACACACAATTTCTTATTTCTCAGTAAATGAAGGTCAACCCACCATTTAACTGGCCAGCGGCCACCTTGTGAGGCTTTGTAGTAGTCGCTTCCCGATCCAGTAGCACGAGACAGACCGAAATCACTAATTTTTACCTAAGGAAAATATCAAGGGAAAAAAGACACATTAATATAATCAGAAAGAGACTTCGGTGGTATATATAGATATTGACGCTGTTGCACAAACCAGTAACTTAATCCATATATACTTCCTTACAAAGAAGAGCTGTGAGAAAAAGTGCCTCCATGAAAAAGTATTTTCTGAGGTAGTGCCTATGGTTTTTTCCTTGCAAATCCAATGCAAGATCCATCAAAGTCAATGTCGCTCCACTCTTGACCTTCCTTATAATTTGAGTGACATCAAAGCGTCTCCGTTTCGAGAGTCTTTGGTAATTTGTCATACTCAAAAACAAACGCTAACTACAATACAAACAAAAAGCATGAAATTTCAAAACGATACTAGGAAAAATCTTCTGTCAGGGTAGGTTCATAGCCTCAAAACCACAACCTAACAATATAGGCTCCTCTCCTGACCTGTTGTTTGGTAGACATGAGAATGTTCCTTGTTGCCAGGTCCCTATGAACGAAGCGCTTTTTCTCCAGGTACATCATACCCCACGCTATCTGAGCGGCCCATAGTTTAAGGTCCCTTTGGGAAATTTCTGATTGGTGATCGATTAAGAAGTCTAGTAACGCGCCCATTTGCACTAACTCTTGTACCTACAATACAGCCATATATGCTGAGTAAGTTTTTCCTTAGAACTTTCACTATTCATTCAGGGCATAGTAGCGGTAACGAGAGCGTGGATCGAAGAAAAACAGAGGTTCCCTATTAGGACATGTACCTTGAACCCGACCTTGGTCCCGGGGCCTCTCTCCCTTGGGGCGAGAAAGAAGAGAAGGAGAGGGGTTACGGGAAGAAGAGAGACCCTGGAAACGAAATTGACTCATACCCTCTGATTTCACGATCAAGTTCTCTAACAAAAGAGCTGCAGATAATTATCTGATGGGTTTGGCAATATACTGGGTTCATATGCATGCTGTCAGTAACGAGTGCTATGAGATTCCGAGCACACTATCAAATTAAGAGATATTAAACCTTCCACGGGGTTGGAACAAAATTCACCAATGTAATCTACTACTACTAATAATAATAATAGCATATTTTTCTTAAATTTTGAAACAAATTAGTTTGTTTCTGTCCTAGTAATAATAATAATAATAATAATAATAATAATAATAACAATGATTATAGTTTTTTAATAGTAAGTAGTAAAAGCTTAACACAGAAAAAATTGGAAATAAAAATACATCAAACTGTTATTAGCAAACTAACATATCATTTCTTTTTTAAGCCGATGTCATTCTATCTCGTAGAACATTTTAAAAAGTCTTCCTGAAAAGCAAACGTTCATTACTGACGCTAAGGATGCCACGCAATCTTGAAGCAATCTTCATATTGCAGGACAAAAGTACCACATAACAGTGGCGCGAGAGAGAGACAGAGCGACACTTACCAAGATCAGCGGAGGTCCGAGACAAACTCCGATAAGTCTCACAATGCAAGGGTGATCCAATCCTGACATAATTCGAGCCTCGCGTAAAAACTCCTGCAAGCAAATGCGTTTGCCCCACGAATTAACTCAGACTGCAAATGCCAGGGAGGTTTGGAACTCGTATAAATAGAAACACAATAAGGGAATGCTACCCAGTTGCGTTCACCTTATTATTAACAATGAAAACAGAAATAATATCATTATTATTAGTATGATAATCATGTATAAAGCCACATTCGACGACGTGTAGTCCCTCCTTTTCGGAGAAGTCCATCGCACGATTAAAAAAGAACAGCTGAAGATAATGAGCTCCGCGTGGTGCGCAAACATCAAACATTTTTCGCTGCATTTTTTGGACTCACGCGACGGCCTTTTCCAAAAGAGGACGGCTTCTGGTAGTTTAAAACTACACTAAAAAAAAGTTCAATGGATTAAAAAAATTAACCCATGTACTTATTTGAAAAAAAATACAAATAGTAAGCTTCAAAACATATCGTACCTGCTCCCCATGGGCAATTTTTTCTGGATGTAACGTTTTCAATGCCACTGGGACCTGTAAAGTGAATTGAAGCCCATGTGTGACATGAGTAAATTTATTTTGTATTACAAAGCATAGTTAATAGAGGGGACTCCTAACGCCGGTCTCCTAACCAGTCCCCTCTATCAACTATGTACAAAGTCACAAATTCAAAAGAAAATGTTTTTTGATAAACAATACTTAATGATGTTGTAAATTAATTAATTAGTCTCTGTTTTAACCCCTCAAACTCTAATAGTGAGCCGCATCTAACTTCTTCTTCCAGTAAACCTGCTGAATCATTCGTTAAGATCACGAGAACGAAAGGAAATGATGGCCAACCTAACAGAGCTGAATAACGTCAAGGGTATGCGGTCAACATTGCGGGCTCAAGCGTGCGAGGTTCAAAATTTAGCAAATGTTGCGAAAACAATAGAGAGCTGGCATTTAAAACCGAGACATTTTGTTGTCGTCGAAGGCATTTTCCTATTTGCAAAGTTTTTAGGGAGAAAATGAATTTTCTAGTATATTTAGGGGGTGTACAAAGTTTTTGGAAGTTGTTCTACAAAAGAAAAGCGGCAAGGAAAGCTACGCCTCGAAGAAACAGAATAGCAAATCAACCATGCGAACGACTCAAAATGCGTGTTTCGGCGCCAAACCCTAACGCGTGCGCATACGTTAGTTAGCTCTGTCGGCCAACCTAAGGAGCTTTGATTATCGAAGAACTCTCCTTATCAGGACCAAAGGAAATATATAGAGAAGAGTACAGAGAATATGGATACTGATGTTAGGGACAGAGCTGAATAACGTATACCCATGCGCTAGGTTTTGCCGCGGAAACACGGATTTTGAGTCGTTCGCACGGTTAATTTCCTTTTCTGTTGCTTCGAGGCGTCGTTTTCCCTGCCGCTTTTCTTTGACAGAACAACCTCCCAAAAACTTGGTACACCCCTAAGATTTTTCAAAAATTAATTTCCTCCTTAAAACCTCTGGAAATAGGAAAATGCCTTCGACGAAAATAGAGTTCCTCGGTTTTAAAAGTCAGCCCTTATTATTTTCCCCCTTATTTCGCTAAATTTTAGACCTAGGACACTTGAGCCCGCGTTGTTGCCCGTATACCCTCTGACGTAGCATTTCATTATTCAGCTCTGTCTCGTGAGACCTAATTTGAAAGGGAGATGGGACAAAAAAGGTAAGGACCATCGATGGCTTCTGGGGAGGGGGCGGAGCAGCATTGAAGGAAGATGGAGGAAGGGTGTCGGGAGCCTCTTGGTTCTTTTGATTGCCAACACAACTGGTTAGTCCCAAGATTCAAATAACTTCCCGTTCACCAGACATAACAAACCACACTTAAAGATTAACGGTTTTTATTCCCTTCACAGGATATCACATGGTGCTTTCTTTTTCTAGTCTCACAAGCGCGCTTTCTTGGAAGATTAAAAATAAAACCATTCAAGTATCGCAATAAACCTCGTCCTCATTGGTTGAACTTCATTTTCCATTTCCAATCACTGTCATGATACATTTACAAGTCGCTTCCGGTCAGTGATTAGAATCAAATAATCAAGTAAAAACATGAACAACGTGATCAGATAATTCCCTCTAATTTCAACAAAGGAAAGGGGTGTGGAACAGGGGTTGAAGCAGGAAAAAATTAGGACCACTGCTACTAAAGACAGCTGGTATAGGGCCATTCTAGATTTGGACTCAAACAAAGTACAAGGTGATGTCGCATATTCCTTCTCACCTTGTTTCCTTTAGGATCTGTCCATATGCCTTTCAAAACAGAACCAAACTCTCCCTGGCCAAGCTCGGCTCCAAGTTCCATGGACTGTTTCATGATCAATGTGGACTGCATGGGACCTTGGCAACAACAAAATAAAAGAAATAATGACTGATTGAGAACATGGTTTGAAACAGGGAGTTACAGTGGTCAAGTGTGCAGTGTGTGCTAGTTAAAACGTTAAAATCTGGCTTTATCTCCCAGCTAAGGGCCTCGTGTTGTAGAGGCGCGGTGGCCTCATGGTTAGTGCGCTCGACTCCGGATCGAGTGGTCCGGGTTCGAGCCCCGGCCGGGACATTGTGTTGTGTTCTTAGGCAAGACACTTTACTCTCACAGTGCCTCTCTTCACCCAGGTGTATAAATGGGTACCGGCAATTTAATGGACTGGCATCCCATACAGGGGGGAGTAGAAATACTCCTAGCCGCTTCATGCTACAGAAACCGGGCCACTAGGCTCGTAAACAGACTTTACTTTTAAGGGCCTTGTGTTGTGTTCTTGCAATACCTTTGTCTCTGACAATGCCCTTCTCCTCTCTTGAGTTTAAAAGCATACCATTTGACAAACTTTGAGGTAATTTTATTAGGTTTTATCAACTGAGTTGATGATGCTAATTGGCCTTCAAAAAGAGTCTAAAAGCTGACGTTTCGAGCGACGGTTAGCCATTCGTCAGAGCGAATGGAGGAATTGTGGGTTGTGTGTGTTTCTAGGCAGAAAATGAAGCTATGCTATTGGCGAGAACAAGGTAACGAGAAAAACAAGTATAAATTGGTTGAATAAAAAGCGTTCGTTGATACCGTTGGGATTAGGAGTGCCGATTTGAAAGATAAACTTGATGAATTTCTGAGGAGTTTCCTTTGATGGACTGCAACCCATTCCAAAAAAGTAAAAGCAGCTCCATACAAAGAAACCTAGAATGATCTCAAAACTACTTGGACCAAAAAAACCTTAGCAGAGCAATTCTTTTTGTCTGTGGTAAGCTGTTGGTGCACTGTATCCTATTATGCAAAATGTGAGAACAAAGAAAGATGTGAAATAAAATTGAATAACTTCGTCATTGTCCACTGTCCACAGTTTAAAAAGATTCCAACTTCATCATTGTCAACTGTCTACAGTTTAAAAACATTCTAAAAACAATTCTATCATATTTTCTAACAACTTAACAACTCAAGATAACATAATATGCACCACCGCCCTCCCTATAAAATGTTACAATTAACTCTACCACTGTGATTACTTTGTATGCTTGGGCCACCAGTCACAATCAAGCAAGTAAGTCACAAACCTTGCGAGGTTACCACTTTTGTGGAACTATAAGGAACAGGTACCCTTGGTTTGGCTGGACTTATGGGATTGGAATTCTGAGGTAGGGGTGGGGGAGGTCGTCGTATCCCTCGGGGTGGAGGCTTTGTCGGAAGAGGTAGAAGGGGTCTACCCTCTGTTTTACTTGAATTTTCTCCATCATGGTTGCCCAGTGGATTACTGTTGGCATCACTTATGGATCTCTGTAATTTTATAGCGGGCCTCCTTTGAGAACTGTGGTCAACATCCAGGGTTTCCTTAAATCAGCCAAAAACAACACAAGGAGAATTCAAAATAATATGAACAACATGATTACATAGCCAATACTATAGACAGTCTTCCCACCAGGATTTTGCCTTGGGGGGAGTCCCAGCACCCCTCTGCTGAGAAATAGGAGCACTATAAGAACATTGGGGACACAGAGACAAATGGTCTGCTACATGATGTACCTAACTAATCCAATATGGCGGATGAGGTGTTTAGGATTCAATAACATACACCAACGAAAATAAATGCAATAAAATTAAAAATTGAATCTTTTGATATCGTGTTATTTATTTGTTTCATTTAAACAACCAAAATGCAAGGGTGGTAGTTTGACCATCAAAACCACTTAATTGCAGCTGTTTTAAAGCCCATTTTACGCATAGCTTGCTATAGGGCCTGCACCCTAATGTGTGCATCTTCTTGCCTATTAATGCATCATCTAAGTTTTTCTTGCAAGAAATCCTGCAAGGCTGTGGCCCGATGAGAACACTGCCTAAACCATAACACTTTCCTCTTATATTTCCCCTCCATGTGAATCACAATAATATATACTGGAGGGTCGTTCTAACCCTTTAACTCCCATGAGTGACCAAAACAGAATTTCTCCTTACAATATCAATACAATATCGAGCAGACAAGTGATGAGAATAAATAATAAATCAATTGGGGGATTATAAGTCGATCCAAAACCAAATTCTCCAAAGGGACATTGTAAGAATTGTATACCAAACAGCAGAGAGAATTTCTAATGAGAATTTGGGAGTGAAACAGTTAGGCAGGACTCCCCCCCCTCTTTGCAAGTCATGATTACTAGTGGCTGATTCTTTTAGCATGACCACACTCCGCAAAAAAAACTTCATGGTCTTGGTAGGAGAAAATCTACCCTGCAGCAAATTTTTAGCTCTTGATTACCAAGGTGCTCTGTATGGGCCTTAAAGTTTAAAAGTTTGGTCAATTGTCTTCAGTCACAATTTACCCACCGGGCTGCTAATACACAAGAACATGTCCAAGTTTCTAACAAGAAGGCTTCGAGCACTAAACAATTGGAAGCCCTCAGGCTCTTAATTGTATGCTTTCGAAACTGTAACTTGTACAAAAAAAAAGCTCCAGGCTATGTTTGAAGAAATTTTGCAATTTCTTAGTTGTTTTAAAGTGTCTCTGTTCTCTTTTGCACCATTGAAGTAAAAGATTACAATAAAAATACACTTACAGCTGACCCAGCCCTTTGGAGGGGATTCCTTCCAGGTATGGTTCTACCACTTGTGGTGTTCAGTGCAGGGGAGCTAACAGCGGGTGTTAAATGGGAGCGCTTCCTTACAGGCGGTATTGGTATCTTTTGAATATCAATTGGTGGGTTTCCATCTGGAGGCAGAGCCATCTTAAGAAGGACAGGAAGTCCATCTGCGCATCTACTGTAGTGGTCAATAACATGCGGCAGAGTTTCAAAAAGTGGGCCATCATCAATGTAGAACCACCTGTCAGACTTCATGAAGAAAGATTAAAAGTGAAGTGCACGTTAGTTTAAAAAGGAGGGTATCTGCATCATTAATAACCCTATGACCCCTAATAGTGACTAGCATCCAATTTCTCCCTATGATATCAACCCCCAATCACACATTGAGGTCATGAGAATAAAGAAAATGATCACTAAATAAAGAAGCTCTCAGTTGTTAACCATATTCTCCTAGTCACCTCCTTAGGAACCATATCAAGAACAGCATTAGAAATGTGGACTCCACCACCCAGGTGAACTGAACTTGAAATGAATGCTAAACAACTGATTTCAGTTGGCTTACTGTGAAACTCAGAAAACCCTGAACACCAGAAAAGAAGAGTCAATCAATCTTAAAACACTGTACTGCAAACAGCAACATTTGGTGATAAGTTTCTAGTTTTAAGGATTATTTGCCTGCATGTTCTGNGGGTAGGAGACATTAATTTCCCACACACGAGATTACTGTGTGATGGATGTCCTCCCCTGGGGTGGGATGGGTAGGATTTATTGGGTGGACTACTCACATGGTTCGCATATGTTCCATTCTAGTCCTACCCTACTGCAGTAATGCAGTGAAAATGGTTAGAACAAAATTGTAAAGAGGTTAAGAACTAAACTTACTTTTAGGCATTGTCAATCAACAAAGCTATAAGAAGCAAGCAGGATCAAAAAGGTGTATACATGATGGTTTATAACATGGGTTTTAACTAGAGACTCTAATCATAAACAAATATTGAATAAAATTGTAGACTGTTGTGCGATTTCGAGACAACGGTAAATACTGCATAACTTGTGATCAAATAAATTGCATTTAACCAGTGGGTGAAAATGAAGCAAAGCAATGATCTGCACAGATGGACTGAAATTTTATCAGTTGCAGAAAAGAAACCTGAAAAAACTTAGTTTCAAGCGTTAGCCCTCTGTCAGAGCTAACGCTTGAAAGGTCAGCTTTTGTAATTGTTACAGTGGCCAATTTACCATTTCAACTTTGTTGATATATCCAAATTACCTTGTTTAAATAAGTGACCCTTAGGCCTTGATGGAAACTGACCCCATACTTCCCAGATACTAATTGGACAATTGCTAAAAATTTCACTCCACCTGATAGAAATTATTCCTTTGCTTGAAGTGCTATATGCTAATTATGTACTCACCCTACTTCTTATTTGATAATGGTAAATCTGGGTGTTAACAGCAACTGAGAGAACATAATATCCATGGTCACGTGTACTAAGCCGCACCAGAAACAACCCATCAACCAATCCAAATTTTTTGAAGAGGGCAATGGCTTCCTGAGATTAAAAGAAATTCAGCACATAAGTAAATTGTCTGCTTACTACAAAACGAATTGCAATTTTAATCCAAATTGTTCAATTATTGCTAACACTATCAGACTTTATAGTGAAATATCTTCAAAAATAAAGTTATTATAAGGCAAGGAAAAAAAACACACAGAAAAAACACTTAGTATACCTGTCGGCCTAAATTTTCATGTAACCACATCCTCGGCAAAGTCTTTGGAGACTGCACTGGATAATTATCAATAATTTCTGCAATATGCGTGTGGCCATATTTTATTGCAAGGTCTCTAGGCGTGTCTCCTTCTAGTGATCGAGGGTGAAGTGGAGCTCCCAGCTCCAAAAGAACTTTTAGGCAATCATCAAAACCTTTTAAGGCTGCTATATGAAGTGCCACAAAGCCAGTAATAGGAGAGCGGTCCTGAACATCAGCTTTACCGTCTCTTATGAGCGTAGAGCAAACTGTGGCAAATCCTCCATGACAAGCCACCTACAAAAAAATTAAAATGAATTGTAAGGGCTCCAAGCTTGACTTAAACCAAAGTCAACAAATGGTTGCCAGAATAGAAAAAAAAACTGTTGTGATAATAAATGGCTTATCATATCCCAAACACCAAATGTGCAATTTTTTTTAGACTATAGGCACTAAGTAATTTAATTTTACAGTTTGTTCACCCTTTAACTCCACAAAAGTGATTGACACATAACTTCTCCCTATCAAACCCATACATTATACAACAAACAGGTTATGAGAATACTCAAACTTATCAGGTGGAGGTTGTTTTCTTGATGTAAAGCAAATCCTCATAAATAATTTTCCCAGGAGTTTTGTAGCAGCTAGAGGAGAAAATTAACAATTACATTTTAGGCACTAAGGGTTACATCACCACCCAACACAGTATCCAAATTTCTCCTCAAAATCTTGCCATGCCAACCAAAATAAAATCAACTTGGAATACTGATGGCAATCAGGATTCTCCTCAAAAAATGTCTAGAGANTATTAACACCTTAAGCATTTATTTTTCAATCTATCTCTCCGAGAAGAGCCAAATCACTGTTGAGCGTCCCGTTGAATTGAGCCAAATATTCTATCCAGCTTTCAAATCAGCGGTCTCTGAAGGAAAGAATCTGGTTACTATGGAAACTGCGCCAAAGCAAAATGGTGGACAGACTTGAACGAAAGCATAGCAATTAGTAGAGGGGACGAAAGATCTTCTAAAACAATCTGAATTTTAGTCCTAAACTTTCAATGCCATGTCTTCTGCAGGCACAACGAAGAAGGTTCCACCTGTGATTCGCACAGTGGTACCAGGAAATCGAACACTCGATCAAATTTACGAAGACGAAGCTCGTGAAATTGTCGACGAAGCGATTGAAAATGCTCGACGTCGTATACCTGATTATGCTGGCGAGGATGGAAGGGAAGCAGAAGCCCCTGATCAGGACGATCAGCCAACAATAGATCCTGAGACAGGATATGAGATACCAAATATCAAATGGATGACGGCTGATAACTTCACAGTTTCTGGGGGACTAGAAAAAATCGAGGAATTTATCCAGGTAACACGGTGAAGAAAGCTATATACGACGAATATATGAAATTCATTCTGTATTTATTCATCATATGATCCATTATCTCGGATCGGGTCACTTACGATCTTGATCGCGACGTTTCTAACGCAAACTGCTCGTGTTGACAAGGCGATCTTCACATAAAGAACACCAGCATTATGCAGTTAAAACGTCGCGATTCCCATCGGAAGTGAATACATCGAGAGACAAACGATTGTGTTTGTTCCAGGTAATATTTTCACTAGTGCTCAAGGGGTGTTCATTACTGCGAAGATCGCTTTGATATTTATTTCTAGGAGCTCTCTTGCAGACATGGGAACGTGATGGTAGCTGGTTATACTGTATTGACTTTTTAAGAGAAGAAGAGCAGCCTTACAGCTGGAGGTATAGGTATGCTATCAAGTGGAGTATACCAACCAGGAGAAGACCAATTCCCAGGGCAACTGCTTCTGTTTATATAACCATTGAAGTTAGCAAATTTAAGCCAAAGGTAAAATAATTGCAAATAATATTTAGAGAGCATACTAGAGTGTGTAGATTAAAATTATAATGAAATTAGA